GCTGATTTTTTGATTTATTGTAGAGATGAGGTCTCGCTGCCCAGGCGGGTCTCGAACCCGCGGGCTCAGGCAATCCACTCACCTCAGCCTCCCAAAGGCTCAGAATATCAGGCTGAGCCACCGAGCCCGGTTTGGCCCCTACTTTTTAATTAACTGTATTAAGTGTCATTATGTTGCTTACAGGGACAGTCATCAAGCTGGAAACTACTAAAGGTGATTTTTTTTTTTTTGTGGTTCTTTATTCCGTAGTAAAATGATGGGTTAGATGTTAAATCACAAGATTGAATAGTTAATTCTTGGTTCCCTCTCCAAGAGAACCTAACTTACTCCCATTTTATTCAGTGGTTAGGATCTGAACTGTAGTCTTAAAAGCACCTCAATTACAGTAAAACAGAGAACACTAGATATCAAGTCTCTCAGTTCCTGTTCATTTCTTCAGCCTTGAAACACCTCTGTCATATAATCACTGTTAAATTTTACATTTTGTGTTAGTTCACTGTGGGCCAGCTGGCCCCAGATCTCCCAGGCTTACATGTGGTAGCAGGCTTACCAGAGAAGGAAAACTTGTAAGTGTTCAAGCAACAATGTAGTAGACACCAGAAAGAGGATGGGGAACCAAGGGAATGCAGGAAACAACTAACCTGAGCCTGAGGCATGTGCAGCGCTTTGAAAAGACCTCCATGTTGATGAGCCATGACTCTGCTGCCTCTGTCTCAGAAGGAGTGAGTGCCGCTCCCGTAGTCATTGCAGAAGGAGAAACATGGGGAGAGATGGGAGATGTTGACCAGACTGCAGGCAAGACCACTGCCCTGACCCCCCTCCTGCCCCAACACTGCCTTTGGTGGTTTTTTCATCCCGAGTTTGCCTGGCTTCAAGAGCCCTGTACATGATAGTCGCTCATTAGCAAATATTCACTAGTCTGTCCTAGTTTCTGGCAAATAGTTAAGTAGAATTTCCACGCATTTCTGAATGGACAGATGTCTGCTTTGAAACACAGCTTCTGACGTGCTCTGAGCAGCTGTACTTTGTGTCCTTTGTGATCCAGGAGTGAAGACAAGGAAGCGGTGGGCTTGTTGGTCAACTGCCCTGCCTACTACAGTGTGTCTGCTCCCAAGGCTGAACTTCTGAACAAAATCAAAGCTATGCCAGCAGAGATGAATGAGGAAGAGGAGCAGGGGGATGTCAATGAAAAGAAGGTAAATAAAAGGGGATGCCAGGCACAGTGGCTCAAGTCTGTAATCCCGGCACTTTGGGAGGCCAAGGCAGGAGAATTGCTTGAGGTCAGGAATTCAGGACCAGCCTGGGAAACACAGCAATACCTCCTCTCTACAAAAGACAAAAAAGGAAAGAAAAAAAAGCAAAGGGTGCCCTTGTTGTGCTTTTCCCAGAAAGATAGTCAAGGTCCTGTAGTCTGCATGGTCACTGGCCTCATACAGGAGGAGAGGAAGGGGCCTGTCATGTCACCAAGCCTCACTAAACCACGATTAGACTTGGGACTTGCATGGCACTTTAACCAGTTCCCTTCCAGCTCTCCTGCAAGTAGGCAGGGTGGTAAGTCCTGTTGTTTTCGTTTTTGCAGATGACGGAAGTGAAGCTTGGAGGGACTAAGCGCTTCCTAAAAGTTTTTCTAGCTGGGACTAGAACCCAAGTCCCCAGCCTCCTAGTCAAGCTCCAAAAGCCCAGCCCTGCTCCCAGCAGATGCCCGACCAGTGCCTGCTCTCCGTGTAATTTTCATTTCATGTTTCATGGTCAAAAAGAAAACTAGAACATCTAGAATGTTGGCTTAGGGAAGGAGGCCAATTGTCCGATGCCACTTCTGAGAAAAGGCTATGTCAACCTTTACATAGCTTCCAGCTCTGCAGTACTTCAGGGACGAGCCTGGAAGCACAGGCCTGGGATTCAGTAGCTAGCATTTGATACTCCCACAGGAACTTCAAATGTTAGGCGTTTTAGAATGGCCGTGCTGCTGCTGCTGTCTTCCCACACATCCTGGAGGGTAAAGCCAGCTGTGTCTGCAGGGGGAAAGCTCTCGCCATTCCGCTCCCCCACAGCTCAGGGGCCACTTTCCACATGGTCGCAGCTCTCCTGCGCGCAGGTTGCAGAGGCGAAGCTTGCTGGCTTCCTGCTGAGCTGGAATGGAAGTGGTTGTCGGTGGCACTGACTCCAGGAGAAACATGCTGCAGTGATTCTGCCTCATGTATTCTGAAGTGTGGGTCCCAGGCCTTCTTGCTGGTCTGTAGACCCTGGGAGCAGGGAAGAATGGGACCAGAGGGAGTTTACGAGCACAGGTCTAAAATCTAAAAATCTTCTGACTCACAGCTAACACGCTCACGCAGCCATGGCAGCGACAGGCTCCCTCCCAGCCCAGGGTTTTCCCATTTATGTCCCTACACCATTCTGCACCCCAGGTATACCCTACCTCAGTGTTGCTGAGTGCCCCACTTAATGGGTCCTCTGGAGGTAAGACCACAGTCTGTACTTACCTACTTATCGCAAAGAGACAGCTGTCTATATGCCATATGGGGTTGCCATGGCTTTTCTTTTTTTTTTTTTTTTAGTTGGAGTCTCACTCGATCACCCAGGCTGGAGTGCAGTGGCATGCTCACAGCCACCCCAGCATTGACTTGCTGGGCTCCAGCAATCCTTCCACCTCAGCCTTTCAAGTAGCTGGAACTACAGGTGTGCGCTACCACGCCTAGCTAATTTTTTATTTATTATGGAGACTAGGTCTCACCACATTGTCCAGGCTGGTCATGAACCCGTGGGCTCAGGCAATCTTCTTGCCTTGGCCTCCCAAAGTGCTGGGATTACAGGCTTGAGCCACCACACCCAGCCTTTTTTTTTTTTTTAAGTTGTTGTCTCACTCTATCACCCGGGTTGGAGTGCGGTGGCACACTCCCAGTCACCGCAGCCTTGACCTGCCTGGCTTAAGTGATCCTTCCACTTCAGCCTTCCGAGTAGCTGGAACTACGGGCATGCACTGCCACACCCAGCTAGCTTGTTGATTTTTTTGTAGAGATGAGGTCTCGCTGTGTTGCCCAGGTTGTTCTCGAACTCCTGGGCTCAGGTAATCCTCTCACCTCAGCCTCCCAAGGTGCTGGGATTAAAGGTGTGGGCCGCCACGACTGGACCCTGCCATGGCATCTTCACGGATGAGTGTGACAGATCACTCATTGCTCTTTCTCCCCCAGCTTGGTTTTAATTTTTAACTGTTTTTTTTTAAATCACTTTATTTTTGCCCTCTCACTCTAAGCATCAGATGTCAAAGGTATTTTTAGACCGAGAATCTGAAGGAGTAGAGGATTAGTTCATCCTCACAGGAAATAACAGCAAGGCCCCCAGGTGTGAGCTGTGTGTTTTTTTTTTTAAACATAGTGCTATATTATCATCTTTATTTACACAAAACTCCTCTGACATCTGTACTGCCACATTTTATGCTGACATTATCAGAATTAGAGAACATAAGTGCGGGGGCGACACTGCTAATGGTTGGTAAAGTCAAATTGAGCCTTAAGTCTGTGACCCCAAGTCTGCTGAACGCAGCTCCCTTGGCAACTGCCTCTAAACCTGGTTGCCCAGGAATGGAACTGAAACAGAGATTCTTTGGGTATAACTAAGCCAGAGCTACAGATTGAAATTAAAACCAGTTAAAATCAATTTTAAACCAAAGATACGAGAACAACAGAGTCAGTGCCGTGGGGCCTGAGGAGTCTCAGGTAATCTATAGTGACTTTATGTGGAGTGACAGGCTGCTTGGAAGCAAAAGCCCACCCACAGAAGCCAAAATGGGGATGGGGGGAGAGGAAGTCATGTGACACAGCCGCATCCATCAAGACCTGGCACTTAGCGTGTGCTTGGTAGATGTTTGTTGAATGAATATGTAAAGTGCTATTAGTAAAATCTCAGGTTGGATTTTGCGATTTAACTGAAGAAAACTGTTCAGTACCAGTGTGGAAAGATCATCGTGGTAGCAGCTACAGCCCTGCTACCCTGAGTGTCCCTACTCGTGTCTGATCTCAGAAGCTGCCCAGGGTTGGTGCCAGCAGGTTCTGGTTAGTAATTAGATGGGAGGTCATAGGCCTAAAACCCAGGGGGCAGAAAAAATCTGGGTTTGAATAAAGTTAAGCAAGTGCCTTGACTCTTCTCGACCACTTTTTCTTTATAAAATAGAAATGACGATGATGGCTGTGGGTCAGATTAACTAGTGTATAGTAACACGCTTTTTCAGTGGTAAGGTACAAGGCAGTATGATTGTCATAATTTATTTCACTACAACGTCATGACTCTTCTGACAGGCATATGGACTATATGCTAGGGAACCCCAGAGAAAGAGCCCCATGAGGGTAGAGTCAGGGAAGGCTTACAGGAGGAAGTGGAGTGAGTCAAGACAGGAGGAAAAGGGACATTTAAGACAAAAGAAAAAGAATGCGGAATCCTCCAAGTTATGAAAGCATAGAGAGGGCATGTGCAAAGAAAAGAAGAAAGCCCCGAGTAGTTGAAATTTTGGACTGTAAAAAAGGCTCATGATTAAATAAAAAATTACCAAATTTAGAAAATAAAGGAAGGCCATGAATGGTGGGTGGCGCCCAAGACTGGAAGGCACAGGGGTCAGAAGGTCATGAGGTCATGTGGGTATTGTGTGAAACACTGACATGTGGATTTCATCATGTGGCAACAGAGAGCCCTTTGAGATTGTTGAGTTTATAAATGTATACTAGAATTTTCATCGGTGTCACTTCTTTTTTAGATTTGAATATATAATTTATTTAGAAAGTAAGTGAGAGAGAGAGAAAGGAGTCATTTCTCCAACGTAGGAGAGGGTGCCAGGAAACATGGCTGTCACCACAGCTCAAAGATCACGTGACCACACCAGAGTCTAGTAAAGCAATGACCCGGTGTCCCATTTACCTGTCTGATTTGGAAACCAAAAATATATGTTTCAAATAATGATTATGATGAAAGCACCTGTTAATATACTCAGCATAAAGCTGAAAATGCAGTCTTCTTCCTGATAAACAACAAGCTTTTCTAATGACGGTTTTAAAAAATGATGTGGTCAGTATTCATTTCCCAAGAGTGTTCTGAGGCAGAGAGCAGCCTTTTGCATAGTAATTTGTTATCTAAAACTTAAAGTTAGTAACCTAAAATGAATTTGTAGGCATGAAATTAAGAGTCAGTGGAAACCAGACTCTTGGATTATTAATAAGTATTTTTAAAACCGAAAATAGTATTTTAAATGAGTTCTACTTTATTTGATTCACTTTCTTCTCTTTTCTATTTTTCTTTTTGTTTTTTTGTTTTTTTTTGTGTGTGTGCAGTCTCACTTGTTCTCCCAGGCTGGAGGGCAGTGGCAGGCTCACAGCCACCGCAGCCTGCCTGCTGGGCTCAGACGATCCTTTCGCCTCAGCCTTTCAGGTAGCTGGAACCACAGGTACATGCCACCACACCCGGCTAATTTTTTGATTTTTTTGTAGAGATGAGGTCTCACCAAGTTGCCTAGTCTGGTCTTAAACCCCTGGACTCAGGCAGTCTTCTCGCCTCCACCTCCCAAAGTGCTGGGATTATAGCACTTAGCTATTTTATATATTTTCTACTTGTGTATGCTAGGTGATGAATAATACCCCAAGTAAATATAAGTATCACTTAAAAGATGAAAGACTCAGCTGGGTTCGGTGGCTCAGCCTGTAATCCTGTGCCTTTGGGAGGCTGAGGTGAGTGAATTGCCTGAGCCCGCGGGTTCGAGACTCGCCTGGGCAGCGAGACCTCATCTCTACAATAAATCAAAAAATCAGCCGGGTGTGGTAGCGCGTACCTGTAATTCCAGCTACTTGGAAGGCTAAGGTGGAAGGATCTCCGGAGCCCAGCAGGTCGAGGCTGCGGTGGCTGGGAGCGGCCACTGCACTCCAGTCTGGGCGACTGAGTGAGACTCCAACTCAGAAGAAAAAAAAAAAAAGATGAAAGACTCTCGTCTGACTTCTGACATGCATAAAACTAAAGACAGTTTTGTCTCTAGAGCACCCACTCTTTGGCTAAATTTACCTTGTATCCAGCAGAACTCTACTTAAACAGATCACATGATTCCCTCTTATGAAGGCCAAAGGGTTTGGCTTCATAGCCTTGAGGAATATTCCAAAAGCCAGACGGACTTGTTCCTCTCTGGTTGGCTTTCTTCGGCTGCTATTGCTGTTGCTCGTCC